TTTTTTTTTTTGCTTTGTTTTGATATACGTGGATAGCTGGGGCAAGTGTCCTACTCTGGTCACTAGTTTGGCAGCACTGAGTTGCTCACCACCTGTCTCCTCTGGGTGGGTGGGGTAGCAGGTAGGAGTGTGGGCATGGGTGTCTGTTCACTGGTCACATAAAGTGGCTGAGGGCAGGCTGGGAAGGTGTCAGCTGCCATCTGTCATGATCCAGTGCTGCAGGAGCAGGTGGTGGCACTTGTCCAGTAGTGAGGGTGTCAGGTGTGGTAGATGTGGCTGGTAGTGGGGATGCTGTCACTGCCTCTCACTGGATAAGAAAAATAAAGAAGAAGGAAGGAAGGAAAAAAGAAAAAGAAAAAAAAATGGTATGGCAGTGGGCATTGAACATCACCACCAAACATGGAGTTGGTGGCCGCATGGAGCTTGATCTGCAGAGGCAGCGGGCATGTGGGAGCACACCACAGGCTGCTGGGGGAGCACAGAAGCAGGGGGTTGTGGGAGTGAGGAAGTAGGCTGGGCAGACCCCTGGGTGGGGGAGGAATGGCAGGGGGAGGCTTCACCAGCCATTACAGGGGTAGAGGTAGGGAGAGCCACACATCTGGTCACCAGTAGGGTGTGAAGGATAGAACAAAGAGCAACAAAGAGCACATTCTTCTAGTTGCTCGTCATTGGCGTGGGTGTCCTCCTGGGTGAGTACAGTTAGTTATCTGGTTTCTGCTCCAACTTAATACAAGGGGGGAGAGGGGGTGATTGCCTGGAGTCCAGTGTCTTCAGCCACCACTCTACAGACCTTCCCAGCTTCATGGCTTTCTGACTAAAATGATCAGGGACCACTACTAGTGAGTGGTTCTATCCCTATTTACTGGCTCCCTCCCTGCTCGGTTGTCACCTGAATCTCTGGAGTTCTCACCCACCCTCCTACAATTTCCTTACTTAGATGTAGCTCATGTTCTACTTACCTTGCTTCACTTGAATTTATCTATGCTGTGTCTCTGTCTTATTGGATATTTGTGAAGTTGCTGTCCTGTGATCCTCACTTGAGAATGCTGCTTGCAATTTCTCAAAATGGCCACGCTGCTGGAGCACCTCCTCTCCATATCTGTCCTCATTCACTGCTTTTGTTCAGTTTCCTCTTCCAGTCAGTGTTTGATCTGATTCTTTACCCTTTCATTTGTTGCTCTGGGTTCCAGGATTATCATCTGTATCTGTTTTAGTTGGTTTTTTAAGTCTTTGTTATAGAAGGATAATGTGAAGTGTCTAACTAGGTCACCATTTAGCTAGCTTTTCACTCCAGATCTTTTTCTGGGCAGATAGAGTGAAACTGTGTCAGGTGCTGTCCGTGGTAGAGTTATCAGCAGGTTTGGCAAACACGCAGAGGGAGTTGAGTTTCCCCATTATAGGTAAGGAGTAGAATCATGTAGATTCCATGGCTACATCCCCAGCCCCAGGATATAAAGAAGAGCTGGTTTGAAATCATAGTCCCAAGACTTCTGAGGAACTTGAGAGAATTTCAACTAAAGCATTATAAGGAATCCTATGTGTAATAAATACAGAGATGGTACATGGACGGTATTATCCAATGGGCCTTATTCCACCAAGAAGCATGAGCTACAGATTCAGCCATGGACTACACTGGGGTTTCGTACTGATTCTGGCCTGAATCTTCTATGGTCTCAAGGTTCAGAGGTGCAGAACAAAGCATGTAGACTTTGGAGTGAGTCAGACCTGGGTTCAAATCCCAGTTTTGCACTTGCAAGCTATAAAAAGGACGTGACAATACTACGTACCTTGTAAGGACAAGGAATAATGACTGTAAAAGTCTTGGCAGATGTCACATTCCTAGTCAATGATGGCCCATTTTATTAGATTCAAATGACCATTAAGCAAAGGTTAAGGTGAATAGTAGTCCTTCCACTTAAAACCCTTGGGAATATGGAGGCAGGTCGGAGAAAGGGGAATGTATGCAGTGAGGAAGTGTTTATTCTCTAAGATGCAATGAGAATCTTTATGTTTTCTAGAAATTCAAGGAGAGGTATAACATACAACTATGTGATTAGTTCTCGGCTGGGAAGAAACACATATAAAGAACAATATGCCTTTCTCTATAAGTAAGTATAATCTATGCTACTTGGAACATGGTCCACTTATAAATTAAGTCTATGAATTGAATCTATATGTCTATCTTTTCCTTAAAATCTGATTTTGATCTCTAACCAGTTCTCAATATTCACCAGAATGATTGCTGTCAAAATTAAGGCTGATGCAAAGTATTAACTCTTCAAACTACAAAACACAAGCAGCTTCCTAACAACTTGTTTGTTGGTTGGATCGATGGTTACCTAGATCAGTGACTCTTTATTTCTCGTAGTCAAGTTCTGGTCCTGACCTGGAAACCCAAGTTGCTTTGCATGGCTGACTCCTGAATCTCACATTCTTGTCTTTCTCCTACTAGAGGTTTGTGTTAAGTCTGAACATTACCTTATAGGTGCCCCAGATAAGGAGTACAATTCAGGCCTTCAGCTCCCAAAGGGATTTGGACACTATTAAGAAGATTCAGCCTTGCTCTCGAATGAAAGATTTCTTCAAGGAAAAATTTCACATTCTCATGGCCTCTAGCCTTTCTGGAACCATTGAGGCTGGATTAATTCCCTAAACTATTGGCCTGAGATAATCTTTAAACTGTAAACTAAAAATATGCCCGCAAGTCTTCTTTAAACCAAACGATAGTTTAGTTTAATTAGTAAAGAATGTCTGTTGTGAACATTGTGCTCTTTTAAAGAACTATCTATGGGATCAAACTGACAGTAGCAACTCAAAAAAGAAGATAGAAAACTTAGGGGACAGTGAGTCCATGTTAATGGAGGAAGAGCGAATTGGAAAAGGAAGGTGAGAATGGTTGCCCAACTTGAAGAGTATAATCAATGTCACTGAAGTGTACACGTAGAAATTGTTGAATTGGTACATGTTCTGCTGTGTACATTCCCAACAACAAAAATAAAATTAAATATTAAAGAAAAACAACAAAAAATATCTCTTCCAGAGCTTGAGCTAACAAAGCCTTAGGAGCTGAAGTCTCTGCTTCTTGAAAGAGTGAGAAAAGAGAATATACTCAGCTTGAAGGTCTTCCTTCTTTCTCTTCTAGGGAAAAGCTGGTGTCTGTGAAAAAAAGCTACCTCTATCGTGATGATCAGGATGGCGACGAAGATGTGTTTTCCAGGGAGCCCTTTGTAGTCTGGTTTCAGTCACCCCACGCTGGTGAGACCCACAGGCCTCTCATGTCCAATGAAAAGAGGCTGGACCTCCCCGGAGACCTCATGAACGGGCAGCAGTCTTGAGTGGGCTCTGCCATTCCAGGGTTTATACAGTAACTGTAGGGAGGCATTAGGCTTGGGATGAAAATCAAGAACATCTTTTAGCACCTCAATGTGGAGGATATAGTATAGTTTTGGCATCAGGCTCACTTCTTAGAATGTCACAACTCAAGACCTCTCAGGCTGGAGCCCACCCCTGGAATCAGTGGTATCTCCACTCTCTTTGGAGTACTTAGGCTGGTGGAAATTATTTACTGCAATTCCTCAGTCCCCACCATATACAACTATTCCTTCAACACAAGTGATGGCCAGCAAAGATGAGCCTTTAGCCTAAAGTCTCGCTTTCCTTCCAGTCACTACATCAGTCTCTTCCAGAGTGTAGTGTAGCGAGAAACTCCAAGTGGATTACATGCTGAACTTAACAAGGGTATTTGTACTGCCAGCTACTGTCTCACTGATCCCAACTCATGGTGACCCCATGTATGTCAGAACAGAACTGTGCATGCTCCACAGGGTTTTCAAGGCCTGATTTTTCTTTTGTGGAAGCAAACCACCAGGTCTTTCTTCTAAGGCACCTCTGGGTGAATATGAACTCCCAACCTTCTGGTCAGCAGTCAAGCACATTAACCACTTGCACCACTTAGGGATTCCTAGTGCTTGTACTGTTGTTTTTGTTGTTAGGTGCCATCAAGCAGATTTTTGACTCATTGTGACCCCACATGACAAAGTAAAACTGCCCCATAGAATTTTCTAGGCTATCATCTTTATGGGAGCAGATTACTAGGCCTTTCTCGCTCAGATTGACTGGGTAGGTTCAAACCACCAACATTTTGGTTAGTGGCTGAGTGCTTTACCATTGCACCACCAGGGCTCCTAGCCACTAACAATTATTGATTCCTGATTAAGTGCCAGCCAACATATAGACATGACCTCCTCTAATTTTTGTAACAATTCTACAAGGTAGGAACTAGATTATTTGTACTTCACAGCTAGGGAAACTGGGGCTTAAAAAGAAATCATTTGTCCAAGGTTGCCAAGCTAATGAAGTAGATGTGCCACAGTTTTAAAGCTACCATCTTAGGGGCCCATGCTCTTACCTATTATGCTGTACTCAGTGGAAACTAAAGAATTAAATTTGGTTTGCAAAGTGGAACCACATAGCATCAAATATTTATCCAGCACCTACTACATACCAGGCCCTGTTCCAGGCACTAGACAAGACATACAAGGTCCCTACCCTTGTGGAGTTATAGTATAGTATGAGAGACAGCTAATGACCTCATAAGTATATGCAGAGCTGTAAGTATGTACACTCATACTTATGCAACACAAATATAAACATTCTGACATATGAAGTTAGCTATTTTGGGCCAGAGTTAAACAGCTCATAAAAGAGTACTTATTCAGGATAACAAACAGGGAGAAGAGTGGGGAAATGAGACAAGGAGGTGTGGGCTGTTGACCACAAGCAATTATCATCTTTGTCATGCATGCCATGTGCATGGGCCTAACTAGGGCAGTGTTCCCAAAGTGCCTCCTGGAAGGATGATTTCTTCTCCAAGAGGAGGCTTTGTGATGCTAAACAAATGTGTTTTCCCTGAGCCTCCAGCTTTCCTCCCCAGCCCATGCCCCTCCCTCTCTCCTCTAGGAAACCACCATCTATGTCCTATTTGGAAGTTTCTTTCTTATATAAGAAACCTCCTTATGTCTTCTCTATCTGGGATCAAAGATGAAGGAGTTAGCTATGGATCTATCTTTTCATTCATGCCTGCATGCATACATGCATTCAGTCAAAACATTTTTGAGTACCTCCAATGTGCTGAGGCCAAGGGGGTGAACAAGATAGATAAGCCTCCCCTCAGAAAGCTTTGATTGTCGTGGCCAAACAAAGAAGCAAAGAGAATAATTTCAGAGTGTGAAGGAAGGGAGCAGGTTGCATGGAACAGCAGGGAGCTCCACCTTAGATAGGGTGACCAGGCAGAAGGAACAGTGACTGCAAAAGCTCGGAGGTGGGAAAGAGGGTTCAGGAGAAATCAAAAAGAGGATAGGGGTCCTGGAGACAAACTGCCAGGGTCCAAGTCCTGGGTCCCCACTGAGCAGCTATGTGTCTAGAGAAATGATCACCCAGCAGCCCCCAGCTCATGAGGCAGGAATGGGGCTCCCGGAGCTGATAGGATAAAGCCTAGGTGGTGGTGCTCATAAGATAATATATGTTCTTAGTGCTGGACACAGTCTGTGGCTGAGCCACATATCCAAACTCAGGCTCTCTCCACCCCTTCCTACTAGGGCAAGGTTTTTATATACTCCAACAAGACCACTGCATTTTTTTAAAAAAATAATAATTTTATGTTTCGCCACCCCCCAATTACAAAAGGAGTATGAATTGAGAAACTTCAATTTTTTTTAATTAGAAAAAAAAGATTTTCCTTAGTCCAAAGCCAGTCTCATTATTTTGCAAAAAAAAAAAAAAAAGAAAGAAAAGAAAGATTTGCAGAACATGAGTAAATAAACACACCCACTATATCAGCACATCAGCACAAAACACTATCTCACAGCTTTCTCTGTAATCATTAAGGGCAAGAGGGAGCAAAGAGGTATTCATGTACTAAAAATAAGTAGCCTAATGACTCTAAGGTCATTAAAATCTCAGCCACTGGCTGGACCCTCTAAAAATGGCAGGACGCTTGGAGCTCATACCTCTGAGGGAGGCCTGCTGCCCTGGAGCAAGTTCCTGTGAGCTGGACAGGGAGAAGTGTTTGACCTCCCTCTCTTTCCTACTCCTCAGCTGTCAAAGACTTCGTGATTGTCCCCCTGCACACCACTCCCGAGACGTCCGTAAAGGAGATCGATGAGCTGGCTGATGTCTACATGGATGTGAAAAGACATTGGAAAGCTGAGGTGTTTGTCAAATTCCCATTTAACGGCCAGAATATTGTTCTCAATGGGATGAGTAACTCCTGGGGGAGTTGTGTGGGCCACCACCAATTTACAGCTCAAATTAGGCCTCTCCTCAGCCCTGGATACCCTTCTTGCTAAACCTGCCCAAGAGAGTCTTAGGAATTCATACACTGTACCCCAACAATGTTGTTGTTGTTGTTATGTGCCGTCGAGTCGGCCCCGACTCTTAGCGACCCCTCCTTGGGTTTCCGAGGCAGTATCACTGCGGAAGTAGGATTGCCCAACCTTCCTTCTGAGGAGTGGTTGGTGGGTTTGAACCTCCAGCCTTCTGGTTAGCAGTCAAGTGCTTTAGCCACTATGCTACCAGAGCTCCCACCCCAACAATAATTGCCCAAATTTAGTAGGTGAATAGATCATGCCAAGGCACTGTTCTGAAGCTTGATATGTACAAATTGTTTCATCTTCCCAATAGCCCCATGAGGTAGGTACTTTTATCATTCTCATTTTGCAAGTGAGAAGGGTAAGGCACAGAGAGGTTAGGAGTCTTTTGATTACAAATGTCATAGCTCAAGCTGGCTCATAAAAACAGAGATTTTTGGCTTGTGTAACTGAAATGTGCAGAAGTAGTTCAGGCACAACTGGATCCAGAGTTCAAACACGGAAACAACTTGCTTTGTCTCTTTTTTTCCATCTCTTGGCCCTCCTTTCCTCTGAGTGGGCTCCCTTCCCAGGCAGCCTCAAGCCTTGGAGTGGCAAGATAGCCACCAGCAGAGCCATATCCTGGGATTGAGTCTCATTGGCTCATATTGGGTCACATGCCCATCCTTGAGCCAATCACTGTGATCAAGGGCTGAGGTGTCTAACTCTGTCAGCTCTACCCAAACCTCATGGACTGAAGTAGAGGAAAGGTGGTTTACCAAGGAACCTTGGAGAGCTGTCCTCAGCAGAAGAGGAAGCACCTTCCATCCTCTAGGCCTGAATGTCCCCATCTGAAAATCAGAGATGCCACTACCCGTGGCTGGAAGGATCTGTGGAAGCCCTCCAGAGTGCTCTTATTCCTCATGCCTCTTTCCTTCTTTTGGGATGTGACTCTAGTAATCCTCCTTCCTCCTGCTCAGTTCTCTGCTTAAACTGTTAAAATGAGTCTAGTGGAATGTGGACACAGTCAGAGCTTGGGCATAGAGAACACAAAGGGTGTACTTCATTGTTTACTTGTAGAGAGCAGGGCAAAAGGAAGACAGATTCATTCATTCCACCTTTAAAGTATTAATTCATCCATCCATTCAACAAGAATTTATTGAGTATCTATTATCTGGAGAGGCACTGTTGGTGTAAAAGTGTATAAGCAGGAAACCCTGTTGCAATGAGAGGCCTTCAGCAAGGCAATTAGGGCTCAGTTCATGCCTTCACCATTTGCCCTTCCAGTTGTGTGGTTTTAAGCAAGTCCTTTAATTCCTGTGAGCCACAGTTTCCTGTAAATCAGGGTAAATGGTCCTTTCTTCCTATTGTTGTGAGATTTAAATTAAACTTTATGAAATACTTAGCACTGGGCCTGGCACATAGAAAATGCTCAGTTAATCATTCCCAGTATGAGTCGAAGCTGCAATCACAGAGGTTTAGGATGACAAGCAGTCCTCAGCTGCTCCCAACCATCACCAAGGTCAAAAAAAGTATTCCTGAAGAAAATGCTAAAGTCAGCAACAGCCCCAAACAATAGCACAAACAAGGAAATCTGACACTTCCTCTGGATTGAACATGTTAAAATCTGTCCCAAAAGCCCTGGAGGGAAAATTCCTTCCAAGATAGAAAATTTCTGTTGGCGGCTTCAGAATGGGGGTAGACAGCTTACAGAATAGCCCCTCTCCTTAGAACCCATCCCCACTGCCTCAATAGACAGAATTTCTGCAGGAAAAAGGGCCAGTTTCAAAATGATGGGAAAGAGAGCAGTTCCAAAGCTATTGCAGACACCACCCAAGTTCATTGTTTCTGTTTGGAAGCAAAAGGCATTGATTCATTCTTATGTTTATATCCTACAGTAGTTAGAACCAGAAGCAAGAGATGTGAGGGAACATATTAACTGGATTCTTCTATCTTCACCTAACTGCACACTGAATTATAGAGAGGCATGGTGACTAAGAACAGGAGGGAAACAACTACAACAAACATCCTTCTCCCCACTAAGATCACCCTCCCGAGTACATAATCACCTGTCAAATGCTCATCAAAACTGTGACTCAGGTGTAAACCATGGCTGCTGCTTCTAAACAGCAAAAAGAAATGAAGACAGACCCCATTGTCTACTGGGTGTGGGAGGTGGAAACATTGCTAGCAGTTTCATTCTAAAGCATTCTGCAACAACGCCCACAAGGTGAGGGTTCCAAACTGTGTTTTCAGAATTTCGTTTTCATGGGTGACTTCAATGCTGGCTGCAGCTATGTCCCCAAGAAGGCCTGGAAGAACATCCGTCTGAGGACTGACCCCAGGTTCATTTGGCTGATTGGGGACCAAGAGGACACAACAGTCAAGGGGAGCACCAGCTGTGCGTATGACAGGTATGAGGCATATGCATGCCAGCCATGCAGTACCTTGGTGTGGATTAGAAAGGGTGCCCCTCTGAGCGGGTGAAGCATTACCAGGGCTCAGAGAGAGAGCAGAGGCAATTAGATTTTAGGACCCTCTCCCAGGTACCATGTGCACTGTTTAAACTGCATGAATCTATTAGTTTCCTAAGGTTGTCATAGCATAGTACCACAAACTGGGTGGCCTAAAATAGAAATTTATTGCCACCCAGTCTGGAGGCTAGAAGTGCAAAAGCAAGGTAATGACAGCACCATGTTCTCTCTGAAGGCTCCCTCCTTGCCTCTTCCTAGCTTCTGGTGATTGCCAGCAATCTTTGGCATTCCTTGGTATGCAGACACATCACTCCAATCTCGCCTCCCTTGTCGGGTTGTGTTTTCCCTGTGTGTTCGTCTCTGTTTTCTCTTCCTATGAGAACACCAGTAACTGGATTGTTGTTGTTATGTGCCGTCGAGTCGGACCCGACTCTTAGCGACCCCTCCTTGGGTTTCCGAGGCGATATCACTACGGAAATAGATTGCCCAACCTTCCAAGTAACTGGATTAGGCCTACTTAATCTAGTATGACTTCATCTTAACTAATCACATCTGCAAAGACCTTATTTCTAAATAAAGTCTCATTCTGAGGTTCCGGGTCGCCATGACTTTGGGAGAACACTAGTATGATGACCATGTGTTGTGGCCCTGTAGTTTAGCAGTGACAAGTACAACCTCTGGGATCTCACAGGCCTGGGTTCAAATCCTGGCTTTACCACTTACTATATCTGTGACCAAGAGGCTTAAGCTCATGTGCCTTCATTTCCTCACTTGTATATGGAGGTTGTAGAAGTGCCTCACTTGTGGAGATGAGGATTAAATGAGGTAACTGTGCTTCTGGCACAGTGCCTGGCACAGAGTAAGTGCTCAGTACATTCCTTAGCTGTTAATAACTTCATCACAGAAACCTCCCACTGTTTATTCACCCAATTCCCTATACTTGGGGTTTTTGGGGATTTGCTATTACAAACAACGCTGCTGTGAACATTCTGCCTAAGCACTTTATGCACATCTTTATAATTCACTCAGGATTAAGCCCAAAGGAGTGGGACCAGTGGATGAAAGGGTATTTACACATTTTTATATGCAAATAATAGCATTATCTTGCACTTGTAGGAGCTCTGGTGGCTTAGTGTCTAAGGCATTTGACTTAACCAGAAGGTTGGCGGTTCAAACCCATTAGCCACTCCGCAAAAGGAAAATGGGGCAATCTAAGTTTGTAAAGATTTACCACCGCAGAAACCCAATGGGGGCCGCTATGAGTCAGTTTGGTTTTTTAGTTTGTACTTGTAGAAGTCCTGGTGGCACAGTGGTTAAGTGTTCAGCTGTTAAGTGTTAAGGTCACCAGATGTGCCAGTCTGCATCTGTAAAGATGACAGTCTTGAAAATCCTATGGGGCAGTTCTACTCTGTCCTATAGGATCTTTGTGGGTTGAAATTCACTCAAAGACAAGGGGTTTTGTTTTGTTCTGGTTTGGTTTGTACTTGTAAGAGCTTGTCTTAGGCTGGGTTCTCTAGAGAAGCAAAACCATTGAAGCTTATATACATATAGAGAGAAAGAGAGAGAGACAGAAATTTATCCCAAGGAAATGACTCACGCAGTTGTAGAGGCTGGCAAGTTCTAAATCCGTGGATAAATGTCAAGCTGGAGGCGTCTCCTGACTCACGAAGCTGCAGGGGCTGATGAATTCAAGATTGGCAGGTAAATCGGCAGATTGTTGCCTCGCAGGCTACGAGGGCAACAATACCAAGGTTGGCAGGGAACACAGCAGGCCACTGGTATAAATCCAGGAACTGGAGATGATGATGGGATCCAAAAGGAACAAAAAGCCAGAGACCTTTCCCCAAGCTTTTCTGTATATACTGGAAAGAGACCACACCCCAAAGGCAACACCTGTTCAACTAATTAGCTGCTCACAGCAGATTCCACATGGAGTTGATTATACCACATCCAATCTCATCATGGGGAATAACTACATCCAGCTGTCAAGCTACTCAAAGCCATGCCCCAGCCAAGTTGACACACAACCTTAACTACGACAGAACTCTTTGGAGATTTTAAGTAGCAAACACTAGTGATCTGCACTGCTCCCCCCCAAAACCCCCAACAGCAGAGACTACAGAAAGGGAGGCCCTAGAAGCCCTGGTCCCATGGTGGCTGTGTTCCCCTGAACTCACCCTGCTTACAGAGACAGCGTGAGATAGCCATCTGCGATAGCACAGTTCTCACTTCTCAAGTTTTGAGGTCTGGCTTTCATTTCCACCCTATGACCTCCTTTGTTCCTCTTAGAGCTTTTGGGGCTGCTGTTCTGCTGTTTCCTTTGCAGAAGTCATTATTCCAGCTCTCAAAAGTAGAAACAGCCCTAGCACTGGGGACTGCAGAATCAAGGTGGTAAGTGACAGGAGAGTCAGCTGCCGGTCTGTCTTCTCCCCACCCCCACCCCCATGTTGGAGATGGCCTCTCAGCCACTCACACAAACCAGTGTATGACCTTGGGCAGGTCAGCTTCCTTCGTTGGCTCCTCCCCTGGCAAATGAGAAGGGGGTCACCAAAAATAGTGATGCAGAAGAGTAGTTCATCACAAGGAAAGTTCATCACAAGTTCACACTCAATCAAGTCAGGTGGGGAAACAGTGCAAAAAAAAAAAAAAAGTGCTCACTGAAAGGAACTTGGTTTTATACAAGTGTATGTCAAAGAATGGTGGGATTATATGTGATTCTTTTAAAAATACACCTATTTTTTAGAGCAGTTTTAGGTTTACAGAAAATATAGAGAGTTCCTATATGCTCATATTCCCATATACTGTGATCTGGATAAGTGTCGAGAGGCGGGAACCTGGAGAGTGGACCCACAGCACACGCATAACTAGAGGAAGTCAGAAACTGCGAAGGGGTAAGGGGGAGTTCAACCTACAGTATTCTTTGCTATCTAGGTCTCAAAAAACAACTCTTAACAAATTTCCAACATGCTGTGAGGAGTTTACTTTCTGCTTGAGTTCAAAGTTAACCATAGCGTGGATAGCAAATATGGAAACCCAAAACCCAAAACCAAACTCATTGCCATTGAGTCAATTCTGACTCACAGTGACCCCATAGGACAAAGCAGAACTGCTACATAGGGTTTCCAAGGCAGTAATCTTTACGGGAACAGATAGATCTTTTTACCCTGGAGTCACTGGTGGGTTCAAACAATCAACTTTCTAATTACCAGCCAAGTATTTAACCACTGACCCATTGGGGCTCCTCAGAACCCAAAAGAATCAGGTGTGATTCTCCTTGTCTTTCTCTGTCACAGTCAGTTGGGGCTACACAGACCCAGGCTCCATCACCCACCTTGTGATACTTTCAAGTCTATGTTCCCAACACTACAGTCCATGAGTATCCCTCTCACACTTGTCATCACTATATACCACCCACACTCTCATTTTTCTTTATGCTTTTCTTTAAATCTATTCATTTCCTACTGGAACAAATTATTTTTAAAATGAAACTTCATTATTAAGTAAGTAAGAAAACAGTACCATTGAATACTGTTTGAAATGGAAGGTTTAAAAAAAATAATAATAACTCACTGCCATCAAGTCAACTCCAACTCATAATGACCCCTCCTTGTGTTTCCAAGGCAGTATCTCTGTGGAAGTAGATTGCCCAGTCTTCCTTCTGAGGAGTGGCTGGTGGGTTTGAACTGCCAGCCTTCTGGTTAGCAGTCAAATGCCTTAGGCACTATGCCACCAGAACCCTGGTGAAAACCAAACAATGGTAAATTCTGCCTTAGTTCTCCTGTCTGCAGAATGCTCAGAGGTTGTGACCTGCTCTCTCTTTGTGAAATGGTAGCTTGGGGAGATATAAACACAAGCCAACCCCTATCTGAGAATTGCTCCATGAGCTAATCATGAAAAATGAAAAATAAATGGTAAAGGAACAACATTCTCAGTATGCAAGTCATTGTTGGGTAAGGTGATGTCTTAGTCTCCTGGGGCTTCCATAATGTACCACAGAGGCTTATATGAACATCAATTTATTGTCTCACAGGTCTGGAGGCTTGAGGTCTGAATCAATGTGTTGGCTAGGCCACGTTCCTTCCAAAATCTCCAGGGAAAGATCCTTTCTTGACTCTCCCACTTCTGGTTGCCCCAGGCATTGCTTGGCTTGCAGATGTTTCTTCACATGGCTCTCCTTCCTCTTTCTGGCACTGTGTCTCTTCTACTTTTTTATAAAGATACCACTCACATTGAATTTGGATCCACTCTGGCCACATGCTAACTAAACTGATAGTATCTTCAAAGACCCTATTTCCAAACAAGATCACTTTCATAAGTAACAGGACTTTAACAAATCTTTTGTGGGGACACATTCAACTCATAACATGTAGTGTCCATGTAAAATCTTCTCTTATACCACCAGAGGTAGAGCTCTGTCAGCTGTCACTCCCACCATCATCACTACCACTGTCATCACTGTCACCTTCATCACTGCCACCACTCAACCCTGCCACGTGAGGCAGCAGGAGGAAGCAGCACTTATGGTTTTCATCTTCATGAGAGGATCTTGTTCCACAGGAAACAACCAGCAATAACAAGGCTCCAATAATACCCTAATGATTCGGGGGTCACTAACTGCACTGGGAAACACTGGCCTTGTACCCATAGGGCCACAGCATGGGCTAATCCTATTTAGCAATCTTAAGCCCTGCTCTGTAGGCTAGACGCTAAGCCAAGTCTAGAGCACCATATGGAAGGGCCAAAAAAAACCAAACCTGTTGCAATTGAGTCAATTCCAACTCACAGTGACTCCATGTGTTACAGAATTACTCCGTAGGATATTTGTGGCCATAATCTTTACAGAAGCAGATCTCCAGGACTTCCTTCCATGGTGCTGCTGGGTATGTTCAAACTGCCAACCTTTCAGTTCATAGCCAAGAGCAAACAATTTGTGCCACCCAGGGACCTTGAAAGGGCCAGGGCCAGAGGCTCAGCCAATTCCAGCTGCTGACACAGACCTTGCTTTATCTTAGAAATTGGCAAGTGGACTAACATGACCGTTTTCCCTTCCTTTGCTCCAGGATTGTTCTTAGAGGACAGGAGATTGTTAACTCTGTTGTTCCCAACTCAAACAATATCTTCAACTTCCAGGAAGCTTATGAGTTGACTGAAGAGGAGGTAAGGTTGCTATCTTGTTTTTCTGTCCAGTGGCTTGGAAAGATAGATTGGTGTCATTCTTTAAGGTCATCACTGAAAACACAAGATTGGGCCACTGGACCTAAAATTTTAATCCCTATGATTCTGTGATGTGAGCACCTGCCTAAATTTCTGATTGAGTTGGTCCAGCTTACCTGTGTGGGTACTATTGGGTGACTTACCTGTGTGGGTACTATTGGGTGACTTTGAAAGATGTTGATGATACTTCCCTGAGTCTGAATTTGCTCATCACCAGAATGAGAACATTTGCTCCATAAATAATCCCCCCAGACATCTCTTAGTTCCCAAGGCTATCTCCCTTTTTCCCTTGCAGGCCTTAGATGTCAGTGACCACTTTCCAGTTGAATTTAAACTACAGTCTTCAAGGGCCATCACCAACAGCAAAAAATTGGTTTCTCTAAAGAAGAAAAGAAAGGGCAAAAGATCCTAGACACAAGAATACAATTTTATTAACCCTTTATTGCCTCTAAATAAACAGCTTTAACAAATATACACTGCTCCCTGCGCTCAGGAAACAAGACTGGTCCGACTGCTTTCATCTTTCAACTTGAATTTAATCTCAGTTGAGTCAAATTGGGAGGAGAGTCTTCTGTCAGCCCTGCTAGGGTCCATACCTCCCTAAATTGTCCAAAAGGAAACCAAATGAAGACTTTCACAGTCCAAAACGATGGTCTGCAGGCCCTGAGCTAGAGCTCTGTCAGCTGTCACCGCCACCATCATCACTGCCACTGTCATCATTGTCACCATTGTCACTGCCACCGCTCAACCCTGCCACGTGAGGCAGCAGGAGGAAGCAGCACTCACTCTTTTTATCTTCACGAGAGAATCTTGTTCCACGGGAAATGACCAGCAATGCCAAGGCTCCAATAATACTCCAATGATTTGGGGGTCACTAACTGTTTTAGAGATCTACCTCTCCTCTCTGAGGTCAGATCCCATCATGCCTCACAGGATGAAAGATAAAGGCCACTCCCACCTGCCTCCAAAGTGTCCTTCACCATCTCAGCCAGCTCAGTAACCACCAGTGTCATCCTTTGAAATACTGTTCTGACCACATCCCACTCCACCGCTACCCCCTGCTTCTAAATCCTGCAGGGGTTCCCATCACAGTCTGGATCAAGCCTGGAGACTTGGGAGACCCATGAGGGTCTCTATTACCTGGTATCTCATGTCAGCCTCCCTTCCTGCCAGCCTCCCACCTTGTACTTTAGGCTCCAGCAGCACTTCCTATTCCTGCACACCCCATGCCATCCCTCCCTCTAGGCTTTGGCTCTGCCATATGTACCCCACCCTATCTTAGAAGCCTGAGTGGGGTAACCCTTAGCCTGCACATATGCCATTCCTCTATTGTAGCATTCACCACACCAAGGCCAGTATTAGGGCTCCTTGGGGATCCCTGTGACAAAAGCCCAGTTGGCTGGCAAGAATCAGGGATTTTGTTATATTTCTGTAACCAAAGAGGCTTGTGGGAGACCAGCAACAGGGCACCATTTTACCTGTAACCAAGGTGCCCATTTTGTTTGTTTTCTCTTATACTGTTTCTTTGTTTAAGTAGTACTCCAACATGGTGAAATATGCAAACAGTTGGCGTTTGCACTTACCCAGAGGCACCTTGGAAGACAGGCCTAGTGATCTTCTTTCAAAAGGTCACAGCCTTGAAAATTCTATGAAGCAGTTCTACTCTGCACACATGGGGATGCCATGAGCCTGAGCCAACTGGATGGCAACTGGTTTTGTTTTACCAAAGAATAGACAGGGAAAGGAATGCCCCACCCTGGCCCTACTCCCCGACACCCCAGTGCCCTTTCTCATTAGCCATCCCTCTTACCAGCTTATGTGATCTTCCAGTGAGAGTCCATGCAAAAAGAAGCACCATATGTAACCTAAACAAATAAAGTATAGCCTACCATATCCATAAGTCTACTCCTTGCTTCTTTCTCCTCACATTTCCCAGACAATGTGCATTTTGACACAAAAGAGAGAGAGATTGTTGGCTTGTCTTTTTTTTTTTTTTTTTAATTATGTAGTATCTGACTGAGGGAATAAACTCAAAAGCAGGGTCCTGCTTAAGCAGGGGGAAACCGCCTTACCTCGGCATCCAATTACCCTCAGAGGTCCTGTTGGGATTCTTGTTGCCTCTCACAGGTCTTACTGAGAGGGGGGCATTGCCAAGGCTGCTGAGACTTCTGTCACCCCCTCTTCTGAGGCTAGGGTCACTGTCCCAGGAAACTTTCCAGTTTCCAAGGTCCAAGATGGTCAAGCAGGCAATTTACAAATGAGATTATTCTGGAAGGAGAGGTTCATCCTTCTGCTCCATGCACAAAACCCTGCCAGCCAGCAGGGCTGGGATGAGAGCCCTGGCCACTGGGCTTGGGACTCTGTGCTGCTTGCACAAGCTGGACCAGATACTAAACAAGCCAGTCTGTGACTCTGACCTACTTCTGCCACCCTGCAGTTTCCTCAGTGACTGCAAATTCTTCTGTCTCTTCCCAGGGGCAGGTGACTGAAGGGACAGGCATCTGCCAAGCATAAGGCAACAGAGGTGGGCTGCTTCTCACTGTCCAGAGTATAATGGGGCTGCAAACATCCTCTCATCCCTCTGGGTCACCTGGCCTGACTTGGGGAGGGAATTCTTGTGACCTTTGGGGAATGGGAAAGTAACCTGGCCATCGCCATTCTGTCAGTGTCCACAGGGTTCTAGACATGTTTTGTCCAGAGTGACTAAAACTTAGGGTATACCAGAATCCCAGGGAACCAGTTAACATGCAGATCTCTAAGCTTCAGGCCTCCAGAGTCTGTGTCAGGGGGCTTGCAGTAGAGCCCAAGAACCTGCATTTTTAAAAGCCCCTCCACATCCCAGGTGATTCCAATGCATGTGATCTGAGGACCACTCCCCTATTCCTTCCTCCTCAGGTATAAAGAGATGGGCTGACTTTGGGACCACACTCTAGACTACCTACTAGCTGTGGGACCTTGAGCAAGTTACATACCTTCAGTTTCTTAATCTGTACAATGGGGACAATAAATTAATCAACTCATAGGTAACTTTAAATTAACTACTACATGTCAATGCTAAGAACCTAGTAAGTACTCAGTAAATGGTTGCTTGGTAAACTACAGGGTCAGCCAAAAAGAAAAAAACCCTTAACAAGATGGAATGACACATTGACTGCAACAGTGGGCTTAAACATAGCAACAGTTGTGGGGACGGCACAGGACTGGGCAGTGTTTCTTTCTGTTGTACATAGGGTCACTGTGGGTTGGAACCTCAATGGCACCTAACAACAACAGCATATTTTTTATTAGCAGAACTTGTTTGGTCAAAGGGTAGGCCACTTAAGTCTTTGGGTGCAAACTGCTCTCATGTAGAATAAATGTTTGCCATGTAACAGATTGTGCCAAAGCTCTGGTTCCTTATCATTCATCACAGTATGCTGGCAAGTGAGCCTTGAGAAACGAAGACACCCTTGCTTTCAGCAATTGTTATATCTTCTTCCATGTCCACACATCTTTCTTGCCACAAACACAGAAGCACTCCCCGGTTCTCTTTACCTTGTCCCTGCCACAGGTGTACAACCTGTATTTTTAACAAGCCCCAGACTGGCTCTTCTAATCTTGGGCCAGAGAAGCCATATATAAAGGGCAGTTGCCAAACTAGAAAGGGTGACAATGGATGAAGAGAAGGGCAATGTACCAAATGTGAGTGAACAATATGGCAGCATTGAGGATGAGAAAGACATAGAGAGGTACACGGGAGGTACAGACAACAAATATGAACCCTTTTGCATATATAGTACTGATTTCTCAGTGAAGGCAAACATGGGTATATGGATGGATAGATAGGTGAACAGGCTAAACGATTAGGTATATCTATGAAATGGGGAGTGTATCTAAGATCATATATAGGGTTGGCAGACAATGGTCCTATAAGTTTATGTGAATGATCAGAATTCCCAGGTGTATAGTAGAGTTGACAAGGGGAAGGTTGGGGTCACTGCTTGGTCACAACCAGCTACCCAGAGCGACCGAGCAGTTGATCCTGTGGGCTTGGGATCATAGTCCCGGGGGACATCAAGCTCAATTGGCATAACATACTATACAAAACATTGTTCTACCTCCTACTTTGGCGAGTAGCGACTGGAATCTTAAAAGCTAGCAAGCTGCCATCTAGATGCAACGATGGGTCTCTCCTTGTCAAGAGCAAAGAAGAAAGAAGAAAACTAAAATTAATGGAAACAATCAGTCCTAATGACTGGTACACCATCCAATCTGCAACCTATACAACTATGAGACCAGAAGAACTAGATGGTGCCCGGCCACCACTGTCATCCACTTGGAAGGGATGTAGGAGACCCTGGATAGAGAGGGAGAACAATGTGGAACACAACTCAAAATCATTTGGAAGGAAAAAAATAAAAGATGGTGGGGACCAGGTTTGCTGGTCCAATAGAGCGTGGTAGAACCACTGAGACTATGGCCCCTAGCTGCCCTTTAGGTCTGGAATTGAACCCACACCTGTGGTTTCCAACCAAAGTACAGGCATGTGAGTTAAACATTTACCTCAAGTAGACACACGCTCTGGAGAGAACAATCATGGGAGAAGGAAGGGCTGCTTATGCACAGGGAGACAGCTCAGGGCGCAGAAGAGTATGGAGGGATGGACACTGGGAAGAGGTAACTATGGGGAGGAAGTGGGAGGGGAGCTGTTGCATTGTGGTAAACTGTGGTCAATGACATGAGACAAAGTATATGTGAACTGCTGTATGGAAAGCGAATTTGCTCTCCCAAATCACAATAAATAATAAATTAAAAAAAAAAAAAAAGAAAAGAAAAGAAAAGGTAACAAACTGGAGGGCATGTTCCTCCTCCTTCCTGGAATGAGAAAAAGGCACCCAGCCCAGACGGATGTATGGCTGGAGGCAGAGCTGTTGAGAAGCTCATACTGCATCAGCTTCTGACTGTCCCAGTCAGGCACCCGAATAGTCCCCAGTGCAGAGGCCATAATGAGAACCAGCATTCCTGTGTCACCCACAGGCCACATCTTGAAGGAAGAGTGGGTGGTCATACCATGGGACACCAGAGGACCAACATTCAAGCTGAGGAAATGCAGGAAAAACAGGAGTGCATAATTATGAGGTGCACAGGGGGAGGGTTGCAGGGTAGGGAGGGGAGGAGACTGGGTTAGGGTTGGACATGGCGAATGGGGAATGAAACTAAATGTATGCATGATGTTGAATGTAAAACAAGCTCTTAAAATAATAATAATAATAAAAGAGTGGGTGGTCATAGTCCCATGGGACCCCTGGCCCCATGTCTTCAAAGCTCTGGATTCAGGAAGGTACTGAAATTAAGTAAAACTAAGAGAATTTCAAGGGAATAAGGATGTGTGCATGAGAACGGGTGTATGTGCACTCATAAGTATATACACAAACATCCACTCATTCTTCTGTGAAAGGGCTTGGGAAACAGTGAGTATTCAGGATGAGAC